GTCTCAGTTATCCTTTCTTACATTCTGGATTTAGAATGTTTGGAACTCAACTCCTGGGGTTTCCTGGATACCCCCATGTCAAATTATTTTCAATAGGTTGGAAATGGGCCTATCATGACAGCCTTACAATAGGTTTTTCAGCCTAACCATCACCCCAGTAATTCTTTATGGGCTCCCATCTTTATTCAGAGTAATAGTGTTGGAAGTGATGTTGGAAGTCTTCTAGTCCAAGCCCCCGTCAAGCAGGAAACCTATTACAATTCTGGACAAATACCAGTCCAATATTTTCTTAAAAACCTGTAGTGATGGAGAGCACCCACAACTTCTAGAAGCGAGCCATTCCACTGATTAATTGTTCTCACTGACAGGTAATTTTTCCTTAATTCTAGGTTGGATCTCTCTTGTTAAGCTTCCATCCATATCTTCTTGTTCTGTCTTCATGTGTTTTGGAGAATAGGTTGACCCCCTCTTCTCTATGACAGCCCCTCAAATATTGGAAGACTTCTAACATTTCTAGTCCTTCTCTTTATTAGACGAGACATTCTCCGTTCCAGTGTATGGCTTAGCCTCCAATCCCCTAATCATTTTTGTTGATCTTCTCTGCACTATTTCTAGAGACTCAACATCTTTTTTGTGTTGTGGGGACCAAAACTGGACACAGTATTCCAAGTGTGGTATATACCGGTACATACTGCATGTATATAGATGGCATTTATGTATAGCATACTATCTATTTCAACTTTTCTTAACTTTTCAAAATCAACCAAGATGGGGGTCAGTGTTTATTCTAGACTAGAACAAGACTATGACCACATGACTATGACTATGACCATGTCATAAAACTATGACTAATGGCCATGTTTTGTGAAATGGCTGGAGAAATTTTATTCAACCATCATTTCAGTCACATTATGTTAACTTACGTTACCATAAAAGAATGTTATGAACCTAAACACCCAGAGAGAGGAGGGATAATATGTTTTATGCCAAGGTTCTTATTATCCGAAAGGTGAAATTTAAAATATAATAAAATAACCAAGGAGCAAAAAAAACATACTGCTTTTATAGCATTTCTTTTGGTTTGTTGTTTTGTGATTGCAAATTCATTCATTCATTTACAGAATGTCGGAGCACAGAATCAAATCCACATCTTCTTGGACACAGGTATCAAACGGTAGGATTAAATTATTTGATCCAACTATATTTTGTTTTCCTCTTATAAATAAATCTTAAAATAACCATTAGCAGGTGTAATAGGACATTATCTAAAGTCCTATTCCCATTTTTCCAATAAGAAAGCAGGAAAAGAGGGCAAGTTCTTTTTTCCAATATTTGGGCCTTCAGGATAAATTAGCAATAGCAATAGCAGTTAGACTTATATACCGCTTCATAGGGCTTTCAGCCCTCTCTAAGCGGTTTACAGAGTCGGCATATTGCCCCCACAATCCGGGTCCTCATTTTACCCACCTCGGAAGGATGGAAGGCTGAGTCAACCCTGAGCCGGTGAGATTTGAACTGCCGAGCTGCAGAACTAGCAAGCAGTCAGCTGAAGTGGCTGTAGTACTGCACCCTAACCACTGCGCCACCTCAGCTCATTATAAATTGCTCTGAAGCCATTGCTGAAGTAAACCTTTGTAATTTGACAGCATGATAGTTTATCCCAGTAACAAATAGTTTATTTAAGTGACTAATGTTCTGCAAGATTATCATCATAGATCCTGGTTTTGGGGTCCTGAATGCATCTGAGCATTCAGTTTCTGCAAATTGAAACTGGATTTTTTTAAAAAAAAGTATATACATATATAAAAGACAAGTAGTGTAAAAATACAGGTTTATTTCCTAATGTGCCCACCCACGAACCCCTCACATGAACTTCATTCCCCAAAAGCTTTCCCCACCCAGCTCACCTGCTCCTTCGCACCCTCCTCACTTTCCCACCCACCCCAAGTTAAGCCCTTTCTCCTTTTCGGTCATGTGGGCACCATGGTCAGTTCTGTGTAGCTGATGTACATCACCTTAGGGAAATCTGTGGGGGGATACAAAAAGAAGAGTCAGAGGGGGGCACCTCCCCCTTTGAGAGGAAGGAATTTGGGGGAGGGGTGGTTCTTATCTGGAGTAAAGATTCAGCCAAACTACCAAGGCTTGTAGACAATGACCCTGGCAAGGGTCTGACTCTGCTACAACCAAGATTGCACAGTTTTGTGTGAACTAGGGACAGCCCTGGGCTGCTCCACTCACTTTCTCTCCCATCCATCTGTTATCTGTATTTTAGGTCACACGTGATCATCAAAATTAGAGCACCTAGTTGTATAACCAGAGGTGGGTTCCTACCGGTTTGGACCGGTTCAGTCGAGTAGGTAGCAACTTGGCCAGCCACGCCCCCGAACCGATTCTATCGTCGTCAGCGCCATCTTGATTTTCAGTTCTGCACATACCAGTGGTGGGCTTCAAAATTTTTTGGAACCTACTCTGTGGGTGTGGCCTCCTTTGTGGGAGTGGCTTGCTGGCCATGTGTTTTCTCTCTCTCTCTCTCTCTCTCTCTTTCTCTCTTTCCTTCCTTTTGAGATTTTTGAGATTTTATTAATATTTTTTTTGTCTCTCTGTCCCTTTTTTCTTTTTTCTTTCACATCTCTCTCACTTATTCTTTCTTCTTTCTTTCTTTTTTTCTTTCTTTCTTTTTTT